TGATAAAATAAAAGATTTGGATGGGAAAACATTTTTCTCCTCTAACGCATTGGAGACAAAATATTCTTACTTCTAATTTTTTTAGATTCGAACTTATTAATCCCCAATGAATTAGTTCCTTTTTAACATCTTCAACAACCGCCTTTAAATGATTGAAAACCTCTTCTTTTAACGGCTGAAAACACCTAGCACATTTCATATTTTTTGTGTCCTTTAATTAGGATGGCAAGTTATTTGCTAAATCTTGGGCTTGCTCGGCTTTAAAGTTTTTTAATTTTAATTGAAATAATTTTTGTGCCTCGGGATCTAATTTTTGATAATCGGCTTTTATTTGGCTTTCTAAATTGTTAAAAATATATCACGAAATTCATCAATTCTGATCTAAAAATCGAACTGTTTCTAATAAGAAAAAAAGAGGTTTATTAGTTAATAATTCTGTAACTGTGAGGCTTTTTTTGTCCACTTCGATTTCTTGCCCGATTACTTGGGAACTATTGGCTACTATTCATTGAGCAAATTGCCGAGCTTCTTGTTCTTGCTTTAATATTTCTTGTAGCATTAACTAAATTTATCTAATATAAAAGTAGTATGTAGTTAACTTTCTAAAGCTAGTTTACTAATTAATTCTTGCTTTGCTTTTCGGTTAATTTCGTCTAATTTATCATAATTCAAAGTATCGTTTAAACTTCCTCTTTCTTCTAAAATCGGAATTCCTTTTTTAGTATTAAAGTCGGTATATTCCCTTTGGTTATATTGCAACTTGACTAAATATTCTTTGTTGTCTTGAACTACATATTGTTCGATAATCTCTTTAGTTCTTGCTATTATTTTCATATAACACATTTTACTCTTTTTCTTTCTTTATTTCTTTGTATCCTTCTAAATATTTTTCTTGATCAATGGAATGATAATTGTTGCTGCCTTTGCCTTGGTATCCGCACTGGGGACAAGTATAGGGAATTTCGCTTACAATGCTTAAATTGCTAGTGGCTAGTTTAGTATCGGCTTGGCATTTATCACAATGGATTAGATAAATTAAGGGCATTTATTTGTTGTTTCAAAACACACCTGACTTTTTCTCCTGGAAATTGTTCTTGAAGTATTTTTAAGTCTTCTTCGTTTGGAGCTTCGGGAACTTGAATCAAAACTACATTATGTTCGTGGAAGAATGTTTTCCCATCCAAATCTTTTATTTTATCACACATATAATCAAGTTTTGCTCCTTACTCGCTGCATTCCTTGCAGTTGTTTTTAACATGCTGGTTGTAAACTTCTTTTCAACTAGGGTTTTTGCCATTAGATTTTTGTTCTATTTCTTTCCCTTGTTTTAGAACCATTTCTAAAGCTTCTTTATGCTTGATTATTTTTTCTTTGTATTCATTCATATTATTCTTTTGTTCCTTCGCTAATTAACTTTGTATAAGTATTAGTTGTTTGCTCGATTAACTTGATCTTTTCGCCATTTTCGACCAATCAAGTTTTTATGACAGTTTGGGTTACCTCTTCTTTTTTGCTGTTTTTGTCTTTTCAAAAATCATTAATAGTTAAAAGTTTTTCGCTCATATACTAGTATTTTTACTGTTCTTTAGCATTTTCTTCTATTCACTGTTGAATAGTCTTTGTGCGATTTAATTCTACTTCTTTGTCCATACTTCCTTCTCATTTAGTTCCCTTCTCTAATTCCCTAATAAATTCCTTGGTTTCCTCGGTTAGATCTTTTATTCTTTGATAGTCTTCGGCTTCTAATTTTTTTCGTTCCGAAATAGGCTTAAATCAGGCTTCATCTCCTAATTTTTCTAATACTAATGCATCCAAAGTATTCTTATGTCATAAGCGGTTCTGAACCTCTAATTTTTGCTTGTTATTCAGCAGTTCTTGCCTTTGAGGCATATTTCATAATAATAAAAAATTACTGACTAAAAATGCTTCTTTAAAAATTACTTCTTGCTCTTGAATTTCTTTAGTCATTAATTTACTTTTTAAACAGTTTGAAAATCGCAATAATTAAGTGAATTGAAGAAATAATTAAATTAGCAATTAATAATCACTTTTCTGCTCTTCAGATTTTCTTTTCTTCTTGAAATCTTTTCTGTTTTTCTTTTTCTTGATCCGCGATAGCTCTTAAAGCATCCAGGAGTTTATTTCATTCCTTTTCGTTCAAAGTTCTGGTGTTTTCGACGGGATCTTCGCTGTCGCTTTCTTGATTAGAGTTTTTTAACATAAATTATCAACAGCCGGTTTTTAGACGTTCGGGATAAATATGGCTATTTCAATTATCCGGTAAGGGTTAAATCATCTGCTCATATTAACTTAATTTTTATAAATAAGAAAGGAAAAAAAAGTTAAAATATCTTTCTAATATTAAAGACTAACTCTAATCCTTGATCTACTTTTTTCATTGTTTCTTTGTCTGCTATTCCGCAGTAGCCTCGCAAGCGAAGTTCTTTATCAATGGCTCGTAAACGATTAAGTAAAATTTTGCTGTCTTTCTTTAAGCCATTGGTAGAATTAGCCTTGATTGGTGTTTCAAAAGTTTTGACTTCTGCCAAGGTTTCTCAATCCTCATCCAATAAAGGAGCCACAATAATATGGTGGTCGTATTCATTTTGAATATCATTGCTAACTACCAAAGAATGCCGGCTTCTCGACCCTTGCGGGGATTAAAATAAACTAAATAAACTTCTCCGTAATGGGAAAGGAATAAAAAAATTGTTTATTTTTCAGTGCTTTTGACATGCTTTTATAATCCATCCCCGCTAGTTTCATCTCAAAGGTCATCTTCTTGGCGTCTTTTTTGGCTTTTAGCGACGGCTTGGTAGTCTTTGATAAGTTATTTCCTTTTTTTGATATAGAGACTTCAGTTCATTGAGTTCAAACTTACCAATCCTTCCGTATAAAATATTTTCAGTTTTATCTTCACTAATTCCTAATTTTTGAGCTAACTCATTAGGAGTAAGTTTATTTTCTCTTTTATAGCGAGAGATAGATTGGCAAAGACTATATTTTATTTTATTTTATCCATTTCACTAGCACCAGGTTTCAATCCCTCATTTATGTCTTTACAGTTAGAGTCAGAAAAGTAATTAGTAATGTTTTCTATTTCTTCTTCGGAAGGAAATGTTGGTCTTTTTTTATTGATATTCATTTAGTTCGTTAATAAAACGACTGATTTTTCTCTTTTCCACTAAATCTTTGAGTTTGGTGTAATTCTCTCCCCGCAAAAAAATCATTACTGGATGTTTTATGATAGCATTTTCTCTTTTATTCATAATTAATTTACTCATTTACTAATCTACCCATGATAATAATATTCTTACACTCTTTTATTTTGTTTCTACTTTTTTTCTCACTTTGCCACTTGTTCGCACACGCTCGTCCCGCGTGTAAAAATGAAAGTTTAAACTTTTTTAGAAAATTTTTTTTGGTTTCTTAAACTTACTTAGTTTTTAGTTATGTTTTTAAAACAGTTAAATTATTTAATACGTCTTTAAAAGACTATTATAATTTTGTAGGTAACATTAGCCTATAATATGTCCTTTAAGGGCTATTAAGGCTATTTAAACCGGTTTATATTTTAATAAGTTCTCTAAAGTTCCTGCTCTTACATATTTACTGGTAACCGCTAAACTACTATGCCCTAAAACCTTCTGTAAAATTGGTAAAGGCATACCGCTCATAACATTACGGGTAGCAAAGCATCTTCTTAAAGTATGGGGTGCTAGTTCCATTTGGCTAGGCAATTTAGTTTCTTTCTTTAATTGTTTTAAAAAATCAAAAAAACTTAATCGGTTAGCTTGCCGAGGTTTTCAGTTTCTTTTTTTTAGTTCTTTGATTATTTCCGGACTGATATATACTCATCTTTCTTTATTTCCCTTGCCGCGAATTTGATAAAGATTTTTATATTCTGGTTCAGGATGTTCTAAATCTAAATCAAAATTAATGCTTTCGCTAACTCTTAATCCGGCTTTTCAGCCTAATAAAAAAAGACTTTCGTGCTGATCTCGTTTCCTTTCTCCTTTTTTGTTGGATCTAGTGACCAAATATTCTCAAACTTGTTCTAAAATTTGCTGGGTGGGTAAAATAGTTAATGGTCTTTTACTTTTTTTAGTTGAAGTCATTTTCAATTTGTTGCTGCGGGTCATTTTCGACCATTCTGCCCGGCGGATCAATGTGTTCTGACTTTAGTCTGCTTATTCTAATTAATCCTTCAATATTCGTTATTAGTTGCTTATATTTAGCCAGTTCTCAGGCTTGTTCGTCAATTTTCTTTTGTAATTCGGTTATTTTTACTGTGTTTCTTGGCATAGTGTGTTAAGTGAACGTTTTTCGAGTTTTTTCGTTTTATCTCAAAATTTTTCTAATAAATTTATTGCTAGTTGGTGATTTCGTTGGGAATTATGGCAGTTTCAGCATTGTCTTGCTCCTCCTTGCTGGATTATTTCTTGTCAAGCTTGTTTTACTTGTTCGATGCTTTGTTTAAATAATTCACTGAAAGAA